TGTATATATATATATATATATATATATATAAGTGAAGATAATAAATTTATAAATAAAAAATATTATATATATATATGTAAAATATATGTAAAGTATATATATATATATATATATATATATATATATATATATATATAAGTGAAGATAATAAATTTATAAATAAAAAATATTATATATGTATGTAAAATATATGTAAAGTATATATATGTATATATATATATATAACTTAATTAGCATATATATGTATTAAATAATAATAATAATTAAATATAATATATTATTAAATCGATTTGATGTTTTAAAAACGCACAACTTCCAATGAATCAACACCCTCTACAAAGGGGGTGCCATTAGCACTGCCCTTCTTTATATGTAGATTGTTCAATTTAAAAAAAATATTAAATGATTAAAGAAAGAAAGAGAACATAAAAAATTTCAAATTTAAAGAAAATCTCTAAAAGCCTACATATAAGAGATAAATAACAATTTAATTTTTTCCCACCAATTAAAGACGCCAGAGATGGATTTGGAATCCGAATCAATGAGCACAAGGATTGATGTCTTTACAAAAAATTAACATATTCTATAAAGTTTTCAAATATGATTTGAAATCCGAATCAATGAGCACAAGGATTGATGTCTTTACAAAAAATTAACATATTCTATAAAGTTTTCAAATATGATATATCAAGGATGGCAAAAATAACGAAGTGGTAGTAAAAATTGAAATTTTCAGGTCAAGTTCTATGACTTCTTATCAGGGACGGGACTAGGATCATGGACATATATGGGGAAGTTATTGGATGATCCCGGCCCGACCCAATATGTGTGTGTGTGTGTTTGTGTGTGTATATATATATATATATATGTATATATATATATATGTATATATATGTATATACATATATATATATATGTTAATGTGTATATATTTAAATATATAATATATCAATAGAATTTAGAAGGTTTTTACTCATTTTACCTCAACACCCTAAATAAGTCTCACAAAAAGTCTATTTTATTTGTCTAATCGTGAAATCAAGATGTTAGTTAGATGATATTTGAACTTTTATTAGTTTTATATTATAATATAAGACATTGTTTGTAATTAGTTTGATTATGTTTGAGACATTTAGATTTGCATGTTTAAAAAATGTAATTTACTTTTAATTTTGAAAATTAACATCTTATAATTTTATCCGGGCCGGTTTTGATTTCAGGTTCGGGTATGACCAACGGTGAATGGTATTTTTACTTTTAACGAGTTCCCCAATAGGGATCGAAGAAACCATGGGCCCCGATTGGGATCCAGGTAAGATGAGTACGTGGATCGGTGCGGTTATATACGGGGACGGTTTTGGTTCTTGGTTTCGGGAAGATGGATATCGATAATCTGCCCGAACTTGACTCTTATCATTCCTATGATATATGTCATCAGATCGTTGTCATAATCAAATTTGATAGACGAGACCAAGTATATGTCTACACAATGAAAAATATTCCGATATCTTCATTAACATATGTACATGAAATATACGAGTTGAACAAAACATGTATTATTATGAAATATTTTTTCAAATAAAAGTATCATATTTTAATAAATATTCTCTTTTGATTGATATTGTAGTCATATTTAGCAATTATAAACCAACTTATTTTTTGAAATTGTTATAATTTCTTTGTTTGGTAAGTGATAAGATAGTGTTTTGAAAAGTTACTTTAGTGTTCTTATTTTTTCAATTACATCCTTTGGATGTTAGAATTACAATATGAACAATTATCCACGAAGACATACTCGTGCTTTTTTGAATGGCTTGAACAATCGTTAAACAACCGTCCCCATAATAACGTGATGCCATAGGTTAATAATCCAGCTTAATGTTTATTTCAAGCCTAATGTTTCTACAATATATACATACACATACATATATACACGAAGGATCATGTAAGATTATAAGTTAAAGTGAGAAGGGTAAGAAGAGATCTGGACCATTGATCACTTTTAACCTCACCCCCATCTCATGAAGTGCGTTTGATACCGGAATTGATTTGATGCATCTCGATGTATCTCATAGAATTGATCCCTAATTAGGATCGATCCAAGGGTGGGGTCCCTTCTTACCTTTCTCACATTTGTCACCATAACTTTCATTCTCACCGAAACCCGACTCTATAAATGAAAAACCGAAAAACCATTAAAAAACGAATGAAAAAGTCTATCAATATGGATGTCAAGTAAACGAGAAAAGTATGATTCTTTCTTTGATGTAATTCATTTCACTCGAATTTTGTTTATTTTTCATCTTTTTTTAATAAAAAATAGGGGGTGAAGTTTTTTTTAATTTAAAAAATATTGTTGTAACCGTCAATCTAGTTTACATTCATAAGGTGTTTTTTTAGTTTTTCATTTATTCAGGGTTTTCCAGTGAACTTTTCTCCTCTCTCTCTCTCTCTATATATATATGTGCGTGTGTGTGTGTGTGCGCACACGCACCATTAACCAGATGTTACTAGAAAAACATTTAATTATTTTATCGGGTGAGCATGACAAAGAATGAAAATCTTATTTGATAAGAGGCACGCTAAGGAACAAGAATCTTATTAGGTAAAGAGGCATGACCAAGGAACGATAATCTTATCCGATGGAGACTCTTGTAAGTAAAAACTTATCACATAAGCATGTAGTGAACGTCGACTTAAATCATGTGTACCCATGTCTCATGTCATCTATCGGCATTATGCTAGGTCAACAATCGAGATCTCCTAGGAAGGACCCACAACTACGTGTAAAATCGTGTTTCATTATCCTTCATAATACAATATTCAATTAATGAAATTGACCTTTGATTTAAAGCATATGGTTTAAATATAAAAATAATGAAAAACAATTTTTTTAAATATTATTTGAATATTTTCTATGTGAGTTTTATATAATATTTTTTTTAGTATGTTCTTCTCGCGCTTTGTTCACCCTGAATCTAATTATTCCAAGAGTTGAATCAAACGAACCTTATTAATGCGGCTACTATATACCATATAAGGGGTAGTCATTTGTATGAGACCCACAATTTATGTGTAGGCACGGGCACGCATACACACATGTATAAACAGGGGTGAGATAGGGAGAGAATCTAAAAAAAACCCTAAAGAAACATGAAAAATCTTATGAAAAGTTATATATCAAAATGGATGTTAAATTAAAGATAATAAAGTGATGGTTTTGTTGGTGTAATTTGTTTCACTCAAATTCTCGTTATATTTTGCTGTTTTTCGATTTAAAAATAGAGATTTTTTTAAAGAGGTGGTTATGAACACCTTTTTTAGCACATTTGTTGGACCATCTCAATCAACGACGATTTAGATGAGCTAATCCAATTCATTTTTTTCCCAAGGTTCTCTCCGGATGCATATGTGAACCCACAAGCGTTTACCTATCTGTAACATCCCCGAATTTCCAAAAGTCGATATAATATAAATATTGTGCAAACCGGCAACAATATTCAAGAAGAAAGGAAATTATCTGATAATTTCTTCGAAGTTAACAGGGGAAAATAAAACTACTACTGGTGAGATTATTACAAAGCACTTAAACTGTAGAATATAGGAATATTCCAATATCTAGAACAAAGCGCAATCACCTTGACACAAGCTTCAAACCTTCTCCTTATCCTTGCTAATACTTCGTACTTGGTGATTACCTGAATATGGCTTTCGGTTTGAAAAACAAGGACTAGATCAAAAGGTCTAGCAATCTCTCTTGAATGCCACTGTAACACCATAAGATAATAAAGAAATTCACTAAAGTAACATTTTAATTGTAAAGTAGACCCATCCAGCTACACACACCCGACTTCCAATACATAGGGACTGCACTTTATCTGTCATGCACACCTGTGACATTGAATATTGGCTAACACACTTGCCACACCCATAAGTTTTATGAAACATATTCATGTACTCTATATGGGAACATCCATTTCCGCTATATAATTTGATTACTAACAGTGCTTTTTACACCCATTCAGACATGTGATGATTGGAACAAAAAACAAATATATAATATGGCCAAATATCGTCTTTAAGTGATAAAGTGGTATAAATACCGTATATCATCCACAAAGATTGGCGTAAAAGTCTAATGAAAGAAATGACTTCAGATGGCGAGTTGGAAAAAAATCTTTGTTGGATTGAGTTATCGCTACTTGAAATAACATAATAAAGAAAGTAATATGGGTATAAGACTCATGGTGAAACATAAACATAAATTTCAGCAGACCAATGTTTTGCAGATGCTTTCAGCTTGTAGTTGGTAATAACTAGTTTCACTATCTATTTTGAGGAATATTCTTACAGACTCCAACCATTGCATATTGTTTAGCTTTCAACCAACATATCGCTATGTAGTACCAGAATCATTGGTTGTGTCAAATGGTATCCTCAAAATATATGGATTAACAAATTCCTTTGTATAAAATCATTCTTCCGAGCTAATTCTCATATCATTCAAATTGATGTGTCCGGGTGTAAACTTTATTCTTGAAAATAATACATATTCTATTAGTAAAATATGATTAATTTAATAAAATTAAACTTACATGTTTACATAGAAAATGGACTCTCATTGTTGTATTGACATCTTTTCATCACTCCATCAACATCATGCATGGTGGAACTAGGCAATCGTCCGAGTGGAGTTCATTTAGAATGACATTGAAGATAAGCGATTAATTTTGACTTTACTTGATAAAAACATAAGTTAATCATATTCAACCTTAAATCAAATTGTAGAAATTATTATTATTTCTAACTTATTTTTGAATCAAATATTTTCATATAATAGAGAAACAAAATGGTAGCAACTATCTCATACCGTTTATTGTAGTAAAATATATGGGGTTTTTTTTTGCTAATCATAAGTTGCATTAAGTGAAAATCATTAGTAAAAATATCTAAGAACAACAATTGATGTTTGTTTGGAAATCTATTAATCTCGTAACTCTCAATCTAAATCTCTAGTCAATTAACCCTTATAAAATTTGAAATTTATAATGATCATAAACTTTATATCTTCGATTTAAAAAAAAAATTGATATCCCACCATATCATACAGATACCCAATTAATAGTTTAAAATAAAAATGGTTTATGTGGTATATTTTATTATCTTTGCATTTAGAATTTTAGACGGTGGGCCAGTCGAGTTGGGCCACAATTGAAATAAAACGTGTTAGGCGGTTGGGCCAATTGATACCAAGTCCATTGAACTACTCATTGGAAAGAAAGTATATATTTAAATTAATAATTAAATACAACCTCGTGAAACCAATACAAACTATTCAGTGATTTTGATTTTAAGTTATGGTTTATATTGTTTTATATATTTTGTAATTATATATGTATTTTCATTTGCTTTATATATAAATTAGAAGCGTACTCACGCAATGCAGCGAGATACATCGTGTTTTTAATATTTCATTTTATTCTTTATCTCAGTCGATGTTATAATATGGCTTTATGTGATTTTGAGAAAGCGATGATGTTTTTATTTTTGAATAAAATAT